GCCGGTGGTGATAGTGGGGACAAACTCTCATTCTACAAAATGCTTCCATGGCATGCATCTCAAATAACCTTTGACAACTAAGTCAAGCTCCATGCCAGAAAATGGGGGAAGTCAGAAAACTAGTACCTCATAACCAGCTGCTTTGAGTAGGTAGAGCATGACAACTCAGGAGGCAGTCTGTCTAAGGGATGGAAAACCCTGATGTTAAATTTATGCTGCCTTGCATTCATATCCAAACACAGAAAAATCTATGGAAGTACATCCAGACAAAAAACCCAAAGTGGAGTTGAGAAGGTGGCTGGCTGTCAACAGTGACAATTTTCCAGCAACTCTTGCAGCCAAGCCGTCACCAAATGTAATGCCCTGTATTCCTTTGGAACTTGTCAAGATAGTGGGTGTGGTCTGGCTAGGGTACTGACTTCATATACTGTTGCCCAGGGCTATGCCATGGAGAGGTCATTCCAGTTTTACCACCAAAGGACTGAATTTTGACTAAACAAGATGTTACCTTTATCTCGTGAGATAAATGGATGCTTTCTACTATAGCAAATTTTATGTTTAGTTTATAACGATATTGGAGAAATAATTTCTCAAGCCTCAAAACCATTACTTTAGTTTTGCATAGAATTAATGAATGAATACCATATTATACATAAACCATTTCTTGAAGCAAGTCATAAAGTAAATACATTTAGTGCCCCCGACCTCCTAAGAAAAGGAAGGATACTTAGAAAAGAAGGATTCTATAGATAAAATTCTGTAATTTCCGTTAGTCCATCTGTCTGTCTGTCTGTCCACCACACATTGACTGATAGAAACTAAATTTGGGGAGAAGTGCAAACAGGTAAGGGGGTACAAAGTACAGTTGATTTTACTAGGGGACACAGCTTAGTACAATAAATCTTCATTCATTTCTTTGAAAAATTAAAAGTTTTATTATTTCCCACTATTTTAAAAATCATTTAATGATTAAAATAACAAATACTTATTTCATAAAAATGGAATATTGTTTTTTGCATATCTTTTCTTTAAGTTTTTATATATATGCAAGAATGACATTTCCAGTTTGCGAGAACTATAAACAAATCACAAGGCCATATACTTTAAAAAGTTGGAATTTGGCTCCAGAAAAATATTTACACATGGACAGTTGTATGTTGTATACTCAAGAGTAAAAAATTCCTAAGAATTTATTTCTCTGTTAAAAAGGAAAAAAAGAAATATTCTTAAAAAATATTCTTTACAATGAAGTCTTATAAAATTAAATTAAAGAAAATATTAAACTGCAAAGCAGGGTTTTTGTCAAAGTATTTTTCAAAACAAATCAGCTCATTCAAATTTCAATTGTTTGTGAAAATGAACAAAATGTAGAGTTTGTAAATCTCGACAAAAAATATTAGTGATAACTTCAACAATACTAAATACTATGAAGATTTCAACATGTGCCAGTGTGTTGCCAAAAAATACTAGTGGCTGAAATTACAAGAAATAGAATTTTTTTCAACAAAAGAGATTTCTACTAACACATAAGAATCTGGATTTTCAGGAGGTTGAAGAATAATTTGATGAATTGGTTCTGGAAGATTTTCTTGGCACAATGGCTTTGCAAGTGGACGACCTTTAGAATCAATTTTCCAAACAAACACCATTCCTGCCTGAAAAAAATAGTCACATTAATATGGGCAAATCTTCATATGTAAAAAATAAATTATATATATATATATATATATGGGCAAATCTTCATATGTAAAAAATAAATATATATATATATATATATAACTATATGCATTTACATGTAAATATATAATTTGTCATTTTTCTTGATATTAGACAAGGTGTGACAGAAATACCTCCCACATAATGCTAAGACATTAGTGGCAATGGTATCTTCATCAAGCTAGTGTTTTACCATTATGTGAGAGGTATTTCTACCACAACCTATATATACTTCTGTCTGTCTCATATACACACAGAATGAGGTGCTGAAAAATTCTTGGCCTGAACCACTTCCCAAAATCTAACCAAATGATTAAACAGCAGCAGATTTTTTTAACCCCTTCTTGATTAAGCTGATAACTTTTCAGCACTGCCTTGAAATTCATTTGATCTTTGCTTTAAATAACAGATTTTTGTTGTTTTGATAATCACTTTTCACTCAACCAGTTTGTTATGTTTGGTTACTGAAATACTGGTTTTGGAAAATGGTTTGGTCCACACTTTTCAGCACCTCCTGTTACACTTGGACAGTTTCTAAACTTTGACATAATGCTAAAAACATGGTTGTTGTTAATCAAAGTAAGTGATAATAGAAGTCGGTGATCAGTTTTGCATTGTTCTTTAGTATTAAACGCATGCCCTGTTTTTTGGCCATAGTAGATGCTATCTATTTGTACATTTGAGAAAGGATGAAAGCAATTCTATAAAACATATTTGTAAGTAATCAAACAGAGGGAAAATAGAAAGTGGGGGATCAGTTTTGTATAGTCCTTTAGTATTAACCTCATCTCCCATTTTTGGGCCATAGTAGATTCTATTCGTTTCTACATTCCAGACAGCATGAAAGTCACTAAAAAAGAAAAGACATTTGTTTTATATCATCAGTACTGGCTTAACAAACATAACATTTTATTTTCCAAATTAGTAGAATTGTTAAAACTGCAAATGACTTTTATGGATTATTTATAAGAAAAACAAATAAGAAATGTACCATAAGATAGAAAATGAAGGAAAACACTTTGAGAATTTTTAAAAGAAGCAAAAGTAGGACAAGTTAGTTTCTAGACCTGACTAGTAGCCAATCCCTTACTAATAATTGCTGAAACACTAGTGATTAATTCATTATACCAAATATAACAGTACGCATTATCCTATAATTTGGTGTTGCTCTCTGGATAATGTTGTAATCATTTGGATTTCAAGATAAAATTGTCAAGGTTTATTTGAGGGAAAAACCAACCTCACATTTTTAATGCCAGGAAAACACATTTGGCAATTATGAAAGAATTAAAAGAAAAACTTGAATAATATTTTCTATAAGAAATGTAATAAAAAAGAAATGCTGTAAATAATTCTGTAAAAGTGTTTCAGCTTCTTTGGGGCAGGGGTCAACAGTACAGATAAAATTTGAGCAAACTTAGACCTTCATGCCTGCAAAAAAATAATTTTATATTTACAACATTCTAAAATCTAATCCAATTAAAACTAATGCAATGCAATATTTATCATTTACCAATTTATAAAGAAACAAATATGAAAAAAATTTTTTATTCATAATTTTATAAATATTTACTAAATTATTAAAATATGTGAACCAACTCTAAGGAAATCCTTATTACTTACCATTTTGTAAAGTTTGAATCAATTGTCAATTAGCTGATGTTTTGCCAACCATTCCAATAAACAATCTAATAAATAGATCGTGTTAATAAACAATCTAATAAATTTGATTAGTCCTGGGTAAGACGATAAACTATATCCAGCAGCAAGGCCTCTGATCAGGAGATTGGAGGTTTTGAAGAGCGTGGAACCACCTCTTAATTACTGCTGTTCTCAGGTCCACTTGGGGTGGTAGCACCTGTTAGGGTCCCAGCTATGGGCAAATAGTGAACCCCCAAACAAAATACTATGAAAGTATAAAAATACATTTTTATAGTAAAAATACCAGCAATACATTTTTATATAAAAATTACAATACATATTTATAGTAAAAGTACAAACAATACACACATACTAACTGTAGTGATTTCACCCAAATCTGTTTAAAATACTACCAAACAACCCACATGAAAGAATTCTTTCATGACATTAATCTATATAATATCCTACAATTTCTTAAAGAAATCAAACTGTATTCCAAAATATAACTTCAACAAAACTACAACAGAAAACACACATATCACGACCTCTAGTAATTATGTCCACACAAACTTGTATATGAACAAAAGCTGAGTATCATCTACCATGTATTCACTTGTGAAAGCAGAATAACATATCATATTTTTATTACTTTAAAAACCCAAGAAAATTAAATTTTGGCATTAAATGGCCCATAAGGAATTGATGTGCCATTAATCAAATTAATCAATCAATTTTTTGTTGTCAATTCTCAAGAATAAAGAAAATGTACAAATTCTTCACTTACATATGTTTAAGTTTTATTACAATTCTAATCATCGCTTTTTAAAACTGTAAACATTGCCAAGGAGTGAAAGTAGTTAAAATAATAATGATGTCATGGGAAAAACAGACATTTTGACACTCCATTTTTTGTAGGCACAAGGGTTCAAGTTTGCCAAAATTTTGAATAAATTAATTGCAATTTTCTTATGTTTTTTTTATATGGTGAGGTGTTGCTTTTTCCTTTTATTCAGAAAACTTTAACACCATTATTTGTGTATGTCATGGTGTAATGTCCAGCAAGTTGTAGGTAGTGAGTTCAATCCTCCCTGTTTGCCTCATACTTGTAGCCTTGGGCCAGAATTAAGCTTAGTAAATAACAATTCTTTATCAATTTTCACAAGTAATTTTCTTGAATCTTTAGTTGGGTTTTTATTTTGCAACTTGAACCCTTGGTTAACAGCAGCAAAATATTGCCAATTAGAAATAAAGATAAGTTTCTGTTAAAACTTAAACTCTTGTTGTCTTAGCACCAGAATAAGTTGCTTAACTATACCAGTTGCTCATATCACCTGAGCTACTAGGAACCCTATCGTCAGGAGAAAATTCAAAGTTAATCACTTCTATAGACACTTGTTTAAATTAACTGTAAGTCTCCTACCAAATTTGGTAGAAAAATTTCAATAAATGAATTCAACACATACATGGATTAACAGTATAATAACAGCAGTAATTTCATACCTCTGGTTAAAAACCAAAAAAACAAAATAAAATGGTTTGTCTATATTTCTGAGATGAGGTATTATGTACAGTATTTACATTAGTCGGACTATTGTCCTCAAGGACACATGGCACAGTGGATAAAGGCGTTGGTTAGATCCAGTGACAGACCCAAAGAAGGTGAGTTCAATTCCTGGTTAAGGCAGTGGAGAACTTTCAGAGGGAAAATTAGCAGGAGATAACTGATAACTGACATCCATCAAACATGGCATGTGGAATTAGAACAGTCTACCCCAGCGATCGAAATAAAGGGTTCAGTTCGAAATTCCAACCACCTGAAGAAGGCCGGAGTGTACAACGGCCGAAACGTTGTGACAAATATGGCGACAAAGATGAGGACAATAGTCCGACTAATGTAAATACTGAAAATAAAATGGAGATAAAAAAAACAGCGCAAAGTAGTTAGTGCAATATAAAGTTTGTTAAATAAAATTTTTGAGTTCAGCAAAAGGATGAGACCAAAATGCAAATTACAAATTGGAGATACTAAAATCAAATAAGTACATAAATTTAAATATCTGGGAAGTGTTCTAACAGAAGGCAGAAAGTGCAACACTGAGACCCAAAGATGTATTGGGATGGCTAAAGATACATTCCAAAAGCTAAGTAGAGTGTTGAGGGACAGAAAAATTTCATTACAAAGTAAAGAGTACTGAACTATTACATGAAATCTGTCCTACTGTATGGCATCGAATGCTAGACAATCTCCTCAAAGATGAAGAAGAAACATAAACCAACAGAAATGTGGTTCTACAGAAAGATGCAGAGGATACCTTGAACCAAACATGTGAGCAACAACAAGGTTTTGGAGAAAATGAAAACAAAAAGGAAACATACTTAACATCAGGAAGAAGCAGTCAAAATTTCTGAGGTACGTAATGAGGAAGAAGGCCTTGGAAAACCTGATACTCACAAGGAAGATTGAGGGAAACTATTTTTGAGAAGCTATTTTTAGATCTCGCTATTATCAACCTGTCTGACCTAATTGTTCTTGTAGTCAGCAATTACTATTACAGATTGAAAGAAAGAGGGTGGGTGTATATACTATATTAAAATGAGGTGGAAAGACAGATGGCTCACTAAATGGTTTGGAGTTTTGGTTGTGTAAGGATATAAAGGTAGATAAAAAAAGAAAAACAATGAACCATTGAAGAAAGAAAGCAATTAACAGTTGAGACATTAGTGTTTATACTTCAAAGACAGAGGAGCAGTCCAGCCAGGGGAGGGGTCAGAAATCAACATAAGGAAAGAAAGAGCCAACAGATTCAAGGCAGATTCTACCCCCAGAACAGAACATTCCTTTCTGTACCCTCCTGAGAAGAATTTAAACTGAACAAACATTCAAGTTAACTTTCCAGCAAAGTACTACAAAAAGCCTTCAAGCTGAGACATCCCATTTGAGTATTCAGTTAAAAACAGAGGTGAGTGCACTTTGTATTTTCTGCCTTGTGCAGTTTTTTTTTTCTTTTTATCCATTTTTAAAGCATGTTAAATCTTTTTGTCTTTGAATCCATGTCTTTTTCTAAAAATTGTAACACTTTTTTTTCCTTGTATTTCATGGCAATCCCTCTTTTGGCAACATCAGATATTTGTTATCCTGCTATAATAAGTGCACAAAAGGAAATCTTTTTTTTTGTAATATTGTAAAATAAATGTTTTTCCTTTTAAAATTTTATGCAGTGGTTGTCTTGTTTTGTAGTTTTTACACCTATTATTGTCTTGCTATTTCTACTAAGTTTTTTTTTGTGTCTGGCACCAGAACTTGGATTTGGTGGGAATAAAATTTTTATAACTCAGCTTAAAACAGGTCAAAAAGAAATAAAAAAAATCATGTTACACCATTTGTGAAGTGGAAGCATTTTTTTCATATTGGTTGAATTTGCTTGGTGGCATATCAACCTCTATGGGTTATTTAAGGCCAAAATCTAAATATTTTGAATGCAATTGTAAGGCTTCAACTACAGATAAAATGTATTGCTGGTCATTTTACTATACAGGGTGCAATGGATATATTGTCATCTAAATTAAGCAAAAATGAAAATAACACTGACATCTCATTTTAAGATATATTTACCAAAATTACGAAAAAATATCCTGAAATATTAAAGAGTAAATTTATTCAATAAAATTGCCATTGGCTTCAACCATGGCCTCCAGATGACTTCGGAATCTCCTGCATCTCTTCTGGACAATCTCCCTATTTAAGTTGGTGAACGTTGCCATAATTCTTACCTTCAGTTCATCTTTGGGGTTTACAAGGAGTTCTTTTGGTCTCTCGTTCAACTGTGTCCCACACATCATAATTAACTGTGTTGCAGCCTGGGGAGTTAGGTGGCCAGATGTAAGGGGTGATGTGGTCACAGAAATTGTCTGGCAGTTATGACTAGGTTCTCCTACTTGTGTGATATGGTGCAGAGTCCTGTTTCCAGATTTAGGGGCTTGCAGCCACTCTCTTGACCCAGGACAGCACTACCTCTTTAAGGCACTTGATGTAGGCCTCTGTGTTGAGTATGAGGCTCTGTGGAAAGATGAATAGAGGCATGACTTCACCATCTAGTGATCACTCCAAAAACCATGATGCTGACTGGATATATAATCCATCTCTGCACTGTCCTCAGATTGACACCCAAACACATTGAAATGTTCATATTGGAGCTTCTGGTGACAATGCAAAACAGTATAGCATGCTGTTTCCAAATTTCTGACAGAGTGAATTCTATCATGGTGATCTTTTTCTCACAGATGGTGCCCAACTGACCCTACTATACTGTGAAGTCAACAAAATCAAAAAGAACCAACACACATGCACAAAATTAAAAATAAAAATGGCAGCAATTTACCCCTCACACCGTGTACATATGTATTGTTGATAATTTTTTTTTATAGAAAAATGTATTGCTGGTATTTTTACTATAAAAATCTATTTTTATACTTTTATAGTGTTTTGTTTTTGTTTTGAGGTTCACTATTTATCCATAGCTGGGACCCTAACAGGTACTATCACCCCAGATCAGGGTGGACCTGGGGACAACAGCAATAAAATCTCCAGTCTCCCAACCAGAGGCCTTGCTGCCAGATGTAGTTTATCATCATACCCAGGATTAGATAAAAGCAAAAAAAAAAATTACTTACCTCATCCCCAGATGCAATTCTTGTTCCAAAAGAACTCCATTGTAAAGCTGTAACTGATGCTTTATGCAAAGACTGTGTTTGAGACCAATCTTTGCTCTCCAAATTCCATATATAAATACTACTGTCCTTCCATGCTATACCCAAAATAAGTTTTGTTGGGTGCCATTCTAAAACAGACACGGTGTAACTTCTTTTTAGGGGATCAATTTCAACTAGTTCTCCCTGAAAAAGCAACAAGGAAAAGAAATTAAAAGTTCACAGAGATTTACTAAATTTCACTTATTCTGGCACAAGGGCATGTTTCTGGAGTAGCTGATTCGGAACAAACTCGCTGTCTTGCTACACAAGGACTACTGTCAAAATTTTGTTTGATCCAGATTCAAACATCAACCTAACACTACTTTTATACTGAATGATTTATGGCATCACAGTTGAATTTATAGCTGCAAAGTCAAATTAAAATCTTTTTCAATTTCTATTAATTTTGTCTTCAGTTGCATTGAATATTAATCAACACTGAGCATCTTATTATAAAACGCAGATTGTGTGTGTGTGTGTGTGTGTGTGTGTACGTTTATATATTGGATTGGATTTCCTACATTTTTCAACCGATTTCAACAAAACTTCACAGGACTACATACAATTACCTCACGGTGGTTCTGACAACGCCAAAAATTGGAAAAACACGATTGTTTTTGCACAAAATCAATTTGAAAACACGATTAAGAGGCATTGCGAGAATGAAAGGGGGACAACTCATATCGAGTTATACTCATTAAAAAACCCAGGTTGTTTGTGTGTGTGTGTGTGTGTTCGTTTATATATGGGATCGGATTTCCTACATTTTTTAACCGATTTTAACAAAACATTTTTTTGGCAGGTAGTGTTTCTTATTGTCTTGCACACTTTTTTCTTTATTTTTACATTCAGAATGCTTTAAAAATTCCATTTACAAGACAATTGTTTATAATAAAATTCTATTCAATCGGTAGACTCATAACGATTGAAAATTGAAAACAATGTTTTTGTTTGAGTTTGGGCTTGACCAATTTATTAAAAAAAAAAAAAAAAAAAAACTAATTAAGACATGTGTGTCCGTCAACCTTAAACAATAATCCTTGTCAATTTTATTTTTCAGTCTTTATGATGGTCGATACTTGATCTATCTCTTACTGTTACATCCCCGGGCAACGCCGGGCTCTACTGCTAGTTGTATCTATATTTCGGAGAGGAGTTATTGTAACTATTCATTCAAACTGTTGTCCTCATCTTTACTGCCATATTCACGTTTTTACTGTTGTATACTCCGGCCTTCTTCAGGTGATATATGTTGGAATTGCAAATCAAACCCTTAGATTGTTCTAGTCCCATGTGCAAGTTAATTCCCTTAAGTAACTCAATTCTCAAAGTTTTTGTTCACCTTTGCTATGGCTAGATATTGAACTCACAACTCTTTGGCTCAAGTTACTGGATTACTTCAACCAACTCTTTTATCCACTTGGCCATGTGTCCTTGGGGAGATCAGTGTATGAATTTTTGGGACCTAATGTCTCATATCATTTTTTACCAGAGCTCATATTACAATTTTGGTTATTGTTGCTTTTCTCTACCTATCTGTATTACTGGTTAGAGATTTTATGCATGAAATTGCAGGTTCGTTTCAAATTAGGAATCAGATTAGCAAAGTCAAGGACATTTTTCTGTATTCACCTGATATACAGCTCGAGAGCCGATCAAGACAAAGGTTTACTGCTAAAATGGTAATGATGAAAGAGATGATACAAATGAAAGAGGAGGTGATCAGAAGTGTAGACTATGAGGACAGATAACAATTAACACTTGACTTAAACAGATTAAGATTGTAGTGTTCAGAGAAGAGTACCTCTGTAGTAGTCTGTTCCACAAAGTGGCAATTCTTGAGAAAAAGCTGTCCAAGTGGAATTTCTTACATTTGGAACATGAAGGAAATGAGGTTGCTTCAATTTGATGGATGTGGTATGGTGGTTGTAACTGGTGGCACTAAAGAATGGAGCTCATCTGAACATTTGCCATGGAAATAGCAATAGAGTCGTGGTGGGCTTGTGACAATGCATCTATGGGGCAAAGAGGCTGCAGAGGGGAGAATAAGTCATCACCCACAAAACCACATAAATGATTTTGAAATCTATCAAGGCTAAAAAGTATGGATTGTGCAGCTCCAGTGCAGGAATTGCATTGATACTCTGTTTTTGGTTGATTTTGTCTCTTGTAAAGGCGTGTCAGCAGGAGTCAGTAGTAAAAGAATGAGCTGACCTTATTTCCAGCATTTTTCACAAGAGATGAAATATGTATATATGAGTTCCACTTAAAGTCTGGAGTGAACTTTAGACCTATGAACTTTATATACAAGCATGGAGTCTCACTGAGTTCATTATGACTAGTGGGGTCTCGGTCTGACCAGTGGCAAAGAGATAGAAGCTTGATTTTTGAAGTATTGAAAGTTATAAGCCAGTTTTTTTTTATTTGTGAGCTGTTAGAGCTTGATCAGAAGAGAAATCAGCTATAAGGCTCCGATTATCTTCAACTGTTGTATCATCTGCATAAATGTTTAATAATGATCTGAGAATGTTCATAGACAGATTGTTAATAAAAAGTAGAAAGCAGCTAGCACTGAGGAGAGACAATACATACATCTTAAATTTTGCATAAATGAGGAGGAGAAGGTTTCTGCTCTCTTAAAACAGTAACTTACCACTTCATTGAATATGAAGACTCCTCCCCCGCTGTCATCATCAAAGAGTATGCCCACAGCCAACATTTGATCCTTGGGATGCCATACTGTGTGGGTGAAGGCACCCTCCAAATTAACATTAAGCGGGTGGTCAAAAAACACAGCCATAGCAGAGTTAACCCACACCTGACAAAACATCAAAAGGAAAGTTTCATGAACAAGTGACAATGTTTTGTGAGAATTAACAAAAAAAATTGTATTAAAAAAAATATGAATTTAATATAGAAATTATAACATTTGATAGAATTTTAAAAGAAACAAATTTATGAAAAGATTAATTCTTTGTATAAATTTGTTTCTTTCAAAACATGTCATATAATTAAACAACTTCTTCTAAGAGCCACATCACTTCAGAACATGAGTGACCATAACTCTCCACAACTTCCTATCCCTTATAGACCTTAGCAGTTGTTCACCCTTTGATAAGACTCCTGCCTCCCATTCCAACATCTGCACAAGCTCATCTGGTAGGTGGCTTGCTGCTTTCCCCTGTCTCTCTTGCACTCAATGCACCTTGTGAAGTTTAGGTTTTCCAAGCCGTCCTTCCTTATTATGTGTTCAAGAAATTTCAGTTGTCTTTTCCTGATTCTGAGTATAAAAGTTCTTTCTGTTGCCATTTTCTTTAAGACTTCCTTGTTACTTATTCATGCTGTCCAGCCACAGGATTTCTTCTGTCAAACCACATTTATAAAAAAAAATATTTTGCTAATATACTCAGTTAAGTAAATTAGAATATCTCTCTGTCATATATATATATATAATATATATATATATATATATATATATATATATATATATATATATATATATATATATATATATATATATATATATAGATAGATAGATAGATAGATAGATAGATAGACACTACAGTTCAAAAAGTTTGAAGCCACCCCCATTATTAGCACGAGATGAACTCAAGCCTTTGAACTGTAGTGTACATATATGTGTAAAATTTCAGATAGAATACATCCATAAAAGGAAAATATGAATAAAGGCAAAAGGAAAACTTATCTTAGTCAAAGTGTTTCACCCTCTGAGGATGTTGGCTAAGATAAGTTTCCCTTTTATAGCTATTTATATATAAGTGGACACTGAGGTCAACACTGAGTGTCAACAGTGTTTCATGCTTGGAATGCAATCTACAGGCTATGAAGTTGTGATGACCTGAAAATTTCATTCAAGTATGAAACAGACTTTCGCCACTCAGCATTGACTTGTGTGTGTGTGTGTGTGTGTGTGTGTACGTTTTCATTACTTTAAACATTATTTTTAGTGAATACTCGTATTTGAGTAGACACTGTTTATATTTTAATCAGTATTTTTTTTCATATACTAGCCTGGACACCTGAGAAAACTTAAAGAAAATGCACCCTCCAGCAGGATTCAAAGCTTTGTTGCCCTTTGCAGGAGAAACTGCATGAAGAGCTTCACAATCGAGCAACGTTTTATTTGCCTTTAAAGCACCTTTTATTCGTTCAAATTTTCTCTAAAATCATAACTGCTCAGTTTCATATCCGAAATGTGAAAAAAGAAATTTCTAAAGAATTAATGGATTTTTTAATCTGACATTTTCATTAAACTATTTTTCTGTTAAAAAGTCATCAATCATGCCTACACACTTAATGTATACAAAAATATTTGACTATGTAAGGTTTTCCCAGTACAGGCTGATACATCACTTTAAACTTATAATAAGTTCAAGAACACTGCAAGCATTGGGGAAAGCACACACATATATATATATATATATATATATATATATATATATATATATATATATGCCATCAATTGTTAGGTCTACTGCTAGGAGAGTTGGTTCACTGTGTTGTGACAGAAAACATGAGAATCCATCTTGCACATATATAAAATCTACCATTTATCCATACATTGAATATTGTTGCCATATCAGGTCTGGTGCCTCTACTATATATCTCAAAATCCTTGACAAAATTCAAAGAAGAGTCTGTAATATAACAGATACTGACCTGGCATCTCAACTTCAATCACTTTCTCACTGACATGGCTTCCCGTTGTCTTTTCTAGAAATATTTTCATGGCAACTGTTCTGATTAGGTTTTCTCTTTAATAAAGTTACTCTAAATAAATATTCTTAAAGAATCCAGTAGCATTTTCAATTTCTTTTTCCTATATATTTTTTTACCTGTGTGGGATATATAAAAAAATCCTTACTTTCTCTCTCTCTCACACACACACACACACATATATATATATGTTAATTTTTTAAATTTTTATTTTCATTGTTATGCATTATTTTTATTAGTATTTTAATTTTATTATGTCACTGCATATTTTATTAATATTATTCATTTCTTTATTGATTTTCATACAAAAAATAGTCACCCACCTTGATTTCAAAACGTTTTTTTGTAATAAAAGCAGTGTCAATTTTCAAATTAAAATTTATAATTCTTATTTTCAATCTTAAATGTTAATCTGGACCTAAATTCAAATCCAAAATTAAATTACAATTCATTTAAATACTTAACAACAACAATCCACCCTAACAATAAAATATCTCACAATAACCAGAAATATTAAACAAGGTATAAATCCAAAATTCATACCTGATGATTGCAGGCAGCATGAAACTCTGAGTTTGTGTGATCAATAGGTATATATATATATATATATATATATATATATATATATATATATATATATATATATATATATATATATATATATATATGAGAGCTATTGGTATCTATCATTGGATTTTAAATGCCAAAGTTTTCCTTTCATCTTTTATTCATATTGTTCTTTTACAGATATACACTATTTTATATATTATATATATATATATATATATATATATATATATATATATATATATATATATTTAAATTTAAATTTCCAGATCATTTCTGTGGACAAGACAAATTGTTATAAGAAGGCAAATGGAAAAAAAATCTTAGTTTTTTTCCCAGTTGTCATCTTATACCAATTTGTCTTGTCCACAGAACTGATCTGGCAATTTAACTATATTGTTGACATGGAAAGAAAAAAAACTCTTAGGATAAAGGAAATTTACATTAGCCAGAAAGAGGCTTATATAGAAGCGTCTCTTTCCTTTTTAAATTTGGATTTTTTAATGTAACTCTAACAACAAAAACGTTTCAGTTTCAATTTCATTTTTGCCTTGAAAATGTCAGAAGACGAAACACATTGGCAAAAAAATAAGATTTTTTCCAGTTGTCAAATATATATATATATTATTCCAACTAAGGTGCTGTTGGATGACCAATCAATATTCTAAGTTTCATGCACACAAAACATGCAATCTTCAAACAGCCAAGAGCGGCTCTAATGTATTTATTTCCACTTTGGTGAATCCAAGATTCTAAACTTCTCATTGCTAGCATATACATACACACAGTTTGCATACCAACTGAAATCACTGAGTAGGAGTGTACAAATGCATGGTAAAAGATGGCATAGTCAAGCATTAATGGTTAGTAAAGATATTGAAACCAAACCTTGAGTGGAAAACAAGCAAAAGCAAGACACAATCAGAGCAAAAATTGTTATATCTATGCTCTAGTATTAAAATTATCAAATTTCAATACAGGAGTAGTTATATATATATATATATATATAATACATAAAAGGTTAGTGGTCAGAGTTGGAATCAGTAGTATTAAAAAGTGCTCAATACACATGTGAAAAAAAAAATAAAATAAAAATAAAACATAATATGTACAGTTTTTTGAACTTTAATATATATATATATATATATATATATATATATATATATATATATATATATATATATATATAGGAGAATCAATGGAAAATGGATTAATCTGTTCCTGGATCCCAGATGATTGTTAATTTAAACTTTTAAAACAGGACTTTGGGCACAAGGTGATACACAAAACCAATGTATATCATTAGATCTAACACAAAAAAAAGATAAAACATGTAAACCTTTCCTTCACCAACATTCATGGTATTCATACCAATTTCTGCAATGTGGAATCATTCCTCTTCGAAAAGTCTCCAGACATCCTAGCTCTTTGTGAAACTACTCTTAACTTTTTAATCTCCTCCTCTAATTTCTTGATTCCTGGCTACCACCAGCCAAGAACCTCCTACCAACAGAATATCTTTCTGTTATTAACGAGCAGATTGGGATTCGTTCTGTGATTTCCTTTAGTGACATCCCTTGGAATGAAGTTTTTAATTATCCTCATCATTAATGTGCATCTGAGGTCTCCTCCTGGATGAAAGCTGGCATCAATACTTTCATTCCAGCAAGAAAATACCAAGTTAAACCACATTCATCTCCTTAGTTCTCACCTGCATTCTTGATCACTATATCCTAAAGGAATCACTTCTTCCAGCTGTATCAAAAAGATATGTATGATTTCAACAGATGTCTTTTTGTCTTTCTCTACAAGTGTGTCCTCAAAGAAGTGAAGTTACTGTTTTCTGATAGAATGAAACAATCTTGCATCTTGCAAGTTTGGTTCAAGAGATTATTGGCGGCTCTGCAAGAGTGTTCTGAACAACGGGAAATCTTCAATTCCTCCTCTATTCAATCAATTTGAAGTTCTGACATCAACAACAGATAAGATTGAATGGTTTGCTCAGAAATCCTCTTCCAACTCAACATTTGATTCATTTGGGGTACCCACACTTGATTTGCCCAATAGGACAGAGATTCAACTGATTGATGTGCGCATAACCCCATCACTGATCTTGGACATCGTTTCTAAATTAGACTCCCATAAGGCAAATGGAGGTGATGAGATCACAGCCATCATCCTAAAGAAATATGTCCTGAGCTGGCTCCAGTCCTCTCCAAACTCTACATCTATTGCCTCGCTGCTTCCTGCTTTCCCACTTGTTGGAAGTCCTCCTCTGTAGTTCCTGTTTTTAAGAACTCTGGAGAACCTTCTGACCCCTCTAACTATCACCCTATTAGTCTACTACTGCTTTTTGGCAAAGTATTCGAGGCTTTAATCAGTGCTGAAGTGGTTAAGTGACTTACCTCACTTGACCTACTCTCTGACAAACAATGTGGTTTCTGTTTTTTCAGGTCTATGACTGATGTGTTAATGGCCATCACTGAATGTGTAAATCAAGCTCTTGATAATAAT